TCAGTTTGGTTTTTTAAAAAAATCTCCTATCTATACTTAACTTTTTGTGCATGAGAAATGCTGTTTCCAATGCCTTTGTGAATTCTCATTCGTGGTGTATAATATCAGKACCCCTCTKTCAATAATTGAGGTTTTGTTCCTCACCATCAGCCATATTTTTTTCACTTTGTTGAATGAATTTGATTCAGTGTCAGGCATTGTGAATTTTACCTTTTTCGGTTTCTATAAATATTCTTCCCAAACAGATAAATTAAAACTCCCCAAAATTCCACTGCAACTCCTGGAGAAACCGGTCATCAGCTTATAAGGGATAAATTAAGTTAAAATTTAGGAAGGGAAACAGTGAAGTAGGTAAAGTAAGAAGCAGATCAAGCATCTCTTAATTTGATGACCCCCATTTCTTTTCAGAATATTTAAAAGATGCTTCAAAGAAGACGAAAAGTGGCCTGATGTTTGTAAAATTGGTTAACCCTTGTTCAGGTGAGCTCTCCCTCCCTCCCTGTTCCTCAGATGCTGRTGTCCTGAAAGTCCTTCTCCCTGTGGCTGGTGTGACTGATGACTGGTGTGACTGATGAGTGCATGGACGCATTTGGTACTGGTGTGTCTTCTTCCCAAACAGCTTTTAAAGTTAAGATGGCATCATGAGGTCACAAAAGCAAGCTGATGACATTTCCTAGTTTTCCCAGATAATTTTTCCTTGACATTTTTTGAAAAATTTCTTCTTATAGCTTTAATCCACAGAACTTTAAGGTCATCAGAAATGTTGGCAAAACAAAAAAGTAGCATGTTTGAGTTCTTTCTGAAAACAGATGAATTTTCTTTGGCTTTCTTAAGCCAACTTTTCTTAGTAGTGATTCAATGTTAGCCTTCATTTATATTCATTTTATATTACAAAGTAAAATAAACAACCAAAGTAAAAAAGCAGAAGGCTTTTACTTGACATGCCAAGATTTTGATTAGTTTCATTTTTAACTGTACTTCCCTTACTTTATTCCTACCAAAAAGTAGTGCATTRTTTTTTCTCCTGTCAGGGATGATTTTCATTTTAATTAAAAGTATTGTATATTGAAGAGATTCATATTTTCTTRGATATCAGTTTTATTTTAACTTTACATTCAGCATATTTTCAGTTTTATCTTCTGATTTTTAGGCAAAAATATTAAAATATTCTGTATGTATGTAGTATAGTGTTATTGGTGGTGTTTTTTTGAGTAGATACCTGATTCTTAGCAGATGAGAGCATTCTCCTGGTGCCCATAATCCTGGATAGTGAAATGAGGGAAAGCAAAYGGGTAGTGCCTTATTGTTGGAGAGACGTGATCAATAGAAGCAACAAGAGAGGTGAAAAAATTCATGACTKCCTCCAATGTTCTTTTCCCTAAAATGAAATTGAATGTAATTGGTGTCATATTTAAGCCTAAGTTGAGGTGAGAAATGTTTGTTCAAGAGAAGTTTTGGGTAGCAGTACAAATTCTAAAGCATTTAACAAAAGCCAGATTTCTTCTAAAAATTTGGTTTTGTCTAATTATCATAGGAATAGAGGAACAAATGTTCTTTTTTGCTACACTGGCAAGAAAAAATAAAGGSCAACATTTGATGAGCACATACTATATTCTAAGTACTGTGTTATTTATGTGTTCTGGGTTTATTTAAAAAACTGAGATAAGTGCAATATTGCCCCATTTTACAGAGGTAGAAGGAGAGGCACAAAAAGGTTTATGTAATTTCCCTAAGAGCACATGCCCAGCTCTTGGTGGAGACAAGTTCAGGCTCAGGGTTCTTGACTCCAGAGATGGTACTCCAGTTGGAAARATTTTTTTYCTTCTTTTCATTAGTTGAAGAGATCAAACATGAATATATGAATGGGCTCCCACCCTCTTTTGAGAAATAAACGAAAATCCTTTCAGCTTCTCAGTTGAGTGGGGCTTTAATTACTCCCTATATCTTGAAKCATATCCTTGTCTTCCCTATTTGGATTGACTTGTGGGGTAAGAGAACTTGGTTCCTGTCTTGATCCCTGTGTGCCTGGGGTGGGGGAGAGCACACGTTGCCCTGGAAACAGGGACCCATGTAGCAGCTCAGACCATCTAGCTRAACTCTTAGGGTTTGCTAATTTAGTTATGGCTTTCCTTCTCTCTGATCTGATGCAGAAAGTCTTTGTAGTGGTTAAGATAAATAACTTACACTTTTGCTTTTTTTGATTTAAGTTCAGTAAAGATTATAGAGCTGGAAAATAAGCACTTGCATATAATAGCTCTAAGATTTTTCTGGGAGTCAGTGTGTATAGGATGTATCTATGTATGTTTACGCTCATATTAGCAGCAGTCCTCAGAACTGTAGGGCAATATTTTGATATGTGTATGAGTGGTGTGTGTGTGTGTGTGTGTGTGTGTGTGTAAGAGAGAGAGAGAGAGAGAGAGAGAAAACTTACATATAAAAACCAGATTTGTCTTACAGGGGAAGGAGCCATTTACTTGTTCAATATGTGTCTACACCAGCTGTTTGAAATCAAAGTTTTCAAGGAAAAGCACCACTCTTGGTTTATAAATCAGTCAGTTCAATCAGGTAAGTGACTAATGTGAATATTTTCCAGTAACTAAGTATGGACTCTTGTTTTTCCACTCTTCACACCTGGCTTTATGGGTCCATCCACCTGGTTGGGAGTCTGGTCAGTGGCATATCCTTCCTTGGCAGCAGAGCAGGGTTTAATCAAAGAGAAGGGAAAGATTATTAGTTGTGTCTTTATATATATATATATATATTTTAATGTTTTATTTTTTAGTTGTAGGTGGACACAATCTCTATTTCATTTTTATGTGGTGCTGAGGATTGAACCCAGTGCCTCACATGTGCTAGGCAAGCACTGTACACTGAGCCCCAACCCCAGCCCCTATTACTTGTGTCTTTGATGCTAGGAAAGTTTAAACTAAYCAGTGTTGTCTCCTAAAACACTACCATATCCTCAGGCAGAAGTTAGATTGCCTTTGTACCATGGAGTGCCTATCTCATTGACTGTAGACTTTCTTTTGAGGATCTTCAAATTTTTAACATAATTTCTTTGAAACTGGATACTGGTATAGCTTCTAGATACTAGAATATAGCAACCTTAAAAAAATACTTTTCATATAAATTACTGTCCCCCTGTGTTACTCAGGTTTCCGTTACTGTAATGAATACCTGAGRTAATCAGCTCATAAAAAGAGAAGGTTTATTTTGGCTCCATTTTGGAAGTTTCCGTCCATGATTGGTTGGCCCTGTTGCTTTGGGGCCTTTGACAAGGCAGAACTTCATGGTAATAGCATGTGACAAAACTGCTCAGCTCATGGACAGAAACAAAAGAGAAATTGGAAGAAGTGGAGGCTGAGTTCCCACAGTTCCCTTTGAGGGAACACCCGYAATAACCCAAGACTGCCCACAAGTCCCCTGGAAGGCTCTGTAATTTCCCAGTAGTGGCACTCTGGGGATCAAGCCTTTAACACATGGCCTTTAGGGGACATTGCAGATTCAGACCATAGGATGCCCCCCCACCACCACCAAGCTCTAGATTCAGAGGGAGAAAGGGTACCAAGAGAGCTGTGTTCTRACCCCTGTTCTGGGGCAGGTTGGGGTCCGGCAGTGGTTGGGTATATGAGACATTGTGCATTTCCTCTGCCCACTTTCATTGCTTCTTTTTTTTTACCCCTAATTACTTATTTTTAGTTATACATGAAAATAGAATTTATTTTGACATAATTATAGAAGCATGAAATACAGTTTGTTCTAATTCAGTCCCCAGGCCTTCCGCTCCCTTCCTCCCCCCTCTTGTTCACCTCCCTCTACTCCATTGATCTTTCTGCTGTTTACTTATAGTCTTWTTTTTCTTTTTTTAAACTAATGTCTTCGAAATATACATGGTGAGATTCACTGTGGAGTATTCATATATGTACACAGGAAAGTTAGGTCAGAGTCATTCCACTGTCTTTCCCTATCCCATCCTTTCTCCCTTCCTTTCATTCTCATTTGTTGACTCCACTGATCTTTATTCTATTCTTCTTCTTCTTTTTTTTAATCCCTCTCAACTTATTTTGGATTAGCTTCCACATAGCAGAGAAAGTATTTGACCTTTAGGGACTGGCTTATTTCACTTAGCCTGATAGTCTCCAGTTCCATCCGTTTACTGGCAAATGCCATAGAGTCATTTTTTTTTTATGGCTGACTAATACTCCATTGTATATATATATACCATTTTCTTTATCCATTCATCTGTTAAAGGGCAGTTAGGTTGGTTCCCTAGTTTGGCTGTTATGAATTGTGCTTCTATAAACATTGAAGTGGCTGTGTCACTGTTGTATGTTCATTTTAAATTTTTTAGATATAAACCAAGGAGTGGGATAGTGCGTCTAATAGTGGTTCCATTCTTAGTTTTTTGAGGAATCTCCATACTGCTTTCCAGAGTAATTTGCACCAATTTGCAGTCCCACCAACAGTGTGTGAGTGTACCTTTTCCCCCACATGCTCACTAACATTTATTGTTACTTCTCTTCTTGATAATGGCCATTCTGATTGGAGTGAGATGGAATCTCAGTGTAGTTTTAATTTGCATTGTTCTAATTTCTAGAGATATTGAACATTTTTTCATATATTTGTTGACCATTAGTATATCTCCTTTTGAGCAGTGTCTATTTAGTTCCTTTGCCTATTTATTGATTGTGTTGTTTGTTTTTTGTGTGTGTGTGTTAGTTTTTTTTTTAGTTCTTTGTATATCCTGGATATTAATGCTCTGAAGAGCAGGTAGCAAAGATTTTCTCCCATTCTGTAGCTTTCTCTGCACACTCTTGATTGCTGTGAAAAAGCTTTTTAATTTGATGCCATASCATTTATTGATTTACTTCTTGTACTTTAGGAGTCTTGTTAAGGAAGTCAGTTTCTGAGCTGACGTGTTAGAGTGTTAGGCCTGCATTTTCTTCTAGCAGGTCCAAGATATCTGGTCTAATTCCTAGGTGTTTGATCCAATTTGAATCGAATTTTTGTGCAGGGTGAGAGATGGGGTTAAATTTTATTGTGCTACATATGAATTTCCAGTTTTTCCAACACCATTTGTTAATAGGCTATCTTTTCACCAATGTATGTTTTTGGCACCTTTGTCTAGTATGAGATAACTGTATTTATGTGGGTTTGTCTCTGTCTTCTGGTCTGTTCCATTGCTCTTCGTGCCTGTTTGGGTACTCTGACTGCTTTTTAAGAGTGCTTTCTGTTGGCTCTGTGTTGCCACTGAGTGCTAAGATACACAGGCCATTTTTGTCCACCTTCTAAGACATTCCCAAAAAAGGATTTGTTGCTTTGGTTAGTTTTGCATACCTATTTCCATGAGGAAATTGAAGCAGTTTTTAATTGAGAAAATGCAGTGGTAGTTGTGTGTAGCCTAGAGGGTGGAAGGTACAACCTTTTCATTGTTGTTGTTGTGTATGTTCATCTGGCAGTATGTGAGAGTTAGGGTTTCTAATGTAACACACTTGCCGTCAAATGTAGGTGAGAGACACAGAACACAGGAAAATATTGGGCAGCCGTGATTGCTCATCTATCTTGGACTGTATGAGTTGGTACTCACTTTTTTCTTTCTTTTATTTTTAATAGACTGGTTTTTTTCTTTACAACAAATTTATCTTCACATCAAAGGTACATGCTTTTTTTTTTTTTTAACCATTGTCTTCTTTTTAAACTTAATTCTAAAGAAAAGAACTGTTTTTAAGAATAGCCACCAAGATGTTACTGTTTGATCTGGAAACCTGTTTCTAATTTCCTCATATAATGGATACCTCATATAAGGTTAGCTTAAAACTTATTATTTTCATGAGCTTTCACTTTTCAAAATAATTAAATAGTGTCATAATATAAAACTGCTTCTTTGAATTTTTTTGTTCCATATCATGAAAGGACATGGGGAAAATTTACTATGAATTTTTTTCCTTACTATGAAATGGATTCTCATATATATATATATATATATGTGTGTGTGCATGTGTGTAGATATGTGTGTAGATATATGTGTATGTATATATACATATATATGAATCCTTACCTTAAATTATAAATATATGTATATTTATATATATTTTTGATCTAAACTATAAATATATAYTCATGGTTGAGGATTAGGATTTCTTGTCTTTATAGGTAGGTTGCTCAATTAGAAAATAAATGTAAGTACATATGTTTCCTGAAACCAAAATAAAACACTTGGGCAGGGGTAAGTGAATCGTTTATTGTTTTGAATTTGTTTATTTTGATGAAAATACCTCCTCCAAAGCAGTTCTGTGGAAGGGTGGGAGGGGGTTGTCTGGGATCCTTGGAGGGGAGTTCAACAGAGGAAAGAGAAGCAGGAGCCTTTTTTGTGATTGCCTGTTTCCTTCAGCCAGAGAGTGGGATTTTGGGTTTGTTCAAGCCGATTGCTACCCTTTTTTCTTTTGCTTTGGGGGCAGGGGTTGGTATTGGATCTGGGTTAGTGAAGTGCTTGATGAGCTTTGAGCCCCCAGGCCCAGAAGAAGCTGTCCCAAGAGAATAACAGTGCTTTCCCAGGGCTTCCTTTTCAAAAGCACAGGAAATTACTTTTTACTGCAGCTTTATAGATAGACTTATATGAGTTTCCCCATGTTTGCCTGGTTTAGGTTCCCTCTGTGCTACCCCTACCTCTACTTTCTTTGGGGATGGAARGCTTTATAAAATATGAATTCTGAAAAAGAAATGGAAAGTTAAAATCAGATTTCAGTGTCTTAGCTCCATTCTTCACACAGGGATTTGCAACTTTTTGAAGTGAAATCTGGTGGAGCATATTCTGCCTTTTGAGACTGTTTGAAAGTGAAAGAAGCAAGATTTAAGGTAGAGATGTAAAGATGATAAGAAATTTGTGAAATCTGTGATTTGAAAAAAATGACAGCCTTCAAATTTGGGCATTTCTTGCCACTTGTGCACTAAGGCTTGGTAAGATGAGCTGTCACACATGTTACTAGATCAGTAAATTTCTTTGACCTGTATAAGAAGACCTTTTGGATTGGGGATTTCACATGTATTTGTCAGTAAATGATTCTTATCTTGAGGTCAGCAGGAATTCACCAGCTTGCCTTCCTGAGACCTACTGTTCTTTTAACCTCTAGGAGGTCTCCTGCACTTCGCCACACCCATGGACCCCCTGTTTTTGCTCCTCCACTACCTCATACTGGCCAACAAACAGGTGAGTTTCTCAGTGGGGGTCATCTACAATGACCTCCGTCTTCCTGCTCTCCTTTTCAAATGTAGATTCCTTGCACTTCCAATTTAATTTGGTAATTGTAGAGGGTGTATATCCTGTGTGTTAGGACAGGTCAGAGCATCCCCACACAGGCCTAGAAGCAGCGCTGCAATCTTGATCCAGTTTGATATTAGCTTGCCCATCACTTTTGCATTGTTAGCTCACAGTGCAATGTGCTTTACTGGTTGACAAAGCCTGACACTGAAAACATTTATCATTAAGTGCCCAGATACACATAAAAATTGACTACCAGCTTTAGGAGAAGAAATAGGAACATATCTAATAAAAGCTTATTGAGCAAGATATAGTTGAGACTTAAGAAATTCCAGATAGATAAAATTTACCCTTGTAATAGAAAGATGGAGTTTACAAAAAATATTAGTTTCAACCTAAAGTTCTGAAACATTTTGGTCTCATAATATGTTCACACTTATTAAGGGTTCCCAAAAGCTTATGTTTTTATGAGCTCTAATTATCAATATTTACTATATTAGGAATTAAAACTGACATAAATAACACATTTTTAATGAAACAAACAACAAAATTTAATAAGGCATGTGGCAGTGTTTTTAATGGCTGGTTAAAAGAAGATCACTGAATTCTCATATCTGTTTACACATTCAGCCTGTTTATTGTTTTGGTGGAAGTGTGTGAAGAATATGTGGCCTCACACAGAGATATAATCAGAACAGGAAGGAAAGGGCATAGTAGCCTTTTAAGATAATTGTGGATATTTTTCTCTGATATTACTTCAAAAATCAATAAGGAATACTTTCTCTTTTTTTAAAGAGAGAATTTTTTTAATATTTATTTTTTAGTTTTCAGTGGACACAACATCTTTATTTTATTTWTATGTGGTGCTGAGGATCGAACCCAGCGCCCCACGCATGCCAGGCGAGCATGCTACCGCTTGAGCCACATCCCCAGCCCCAGGAGTAGTTTCTTAAAGGTTTGTCATAAAGTGGAATCTGAACCCTTGTCAATGATCCTTCCATGCTGTCTTATATTAAAATCCACTGGTTTGTTTTTCACTTAGCATGGATCTTTTTTTATAACATCATGTTTTGGTTTATTTGAAAAACATTGGTTCATTGAGTTATATAAATCTTCCAAATGTTAATCCATCCTAGTTTATACATACCCACCCTTTGTAAATGTCTTACTTCAATTTGGTTGCTGTAACACCTGAAAGTGGATAATTTTATAAGCAAAMGAGGTTTACTTTGGTTTAGGGTTCTCAAGGCTGGGAATTCAAAGAACATGGCACAGGTCAAGGTCTTATGTTCCTTCAACTCATGGTGAAAATAGAAAGGCAAACATATTTGCAGAAGAAAGAACATGAGGGATAAACTTGCTCTTGTAATAACTAATCTAGTCCTTTGAACTCACTCATGTGAGAAAGGATTAATCTGTTCATGAGGGCTCCACCCCYAAACAGCTCCCATGAGCCCCAATGGCAAGCAGATTCCATATTCATATCAGTTACTACCATAAAAAAAAATCCTTGAAGTATTGAGAAGCTGTGATATGRGAGATACAAGTTTTCCACAGTTCTGATTTTTGCCTGAAAGTTCAAGTTTTATTATAGGCTACAAGTACTTTCTTTCCCTTGAAGTGATGAACTGCATCGCTCATGTTCTTCTGCTCAATACCTGAGTCCAAACTGACTTATACTGGGTTTTCAAGTATAAGTAATATCCATGAGTAAATGGTTAGTTTTRTAATTAGTAAAGCTAAGAAGAATTAAACTTACCTGAGAAGAACAGTGGTCTGGATTCTTTGTGTGTGTGTTCTGGATTCTTATGGTCTACAGTTTTCTTCTTTTGGTACCCAGGCTTTATGGACTTAACTAGCTGAGCCTGGCTTAGCCTGAGTATACCTTCATTTATGTATCCCTCTAGCATTCTCTCTCTCTCTCTCTCTCTCTCTCTCTCTCTCTCTCTCTCCTCTTAATTTGGAAGCATTATCTGACAGCACTAACAGGAGTGGATTTACTTTTGAATTTGTCTTTAAGTGGCTGGGTTTTCTTTCTTCAGCTGTGGAATGAGGATGGAGAGGCCAAGGAATGTTCTGGGCCCATCTGGGCTGGTTCCAGGCCTGTGTGATGGTCKGGACTCCTGCTCTGGGGCTCTTCTTCAAGTTGAGTGGTTGGACCAGCCCTGGGCAATCACTATTATCTTTGCAAGTTTCTGTGGCTTCACGTACTTTTCTAGAATTTTGTTCCTTGTTTCGTATGGTGACTGTACCCCTGGGGTAGGGTGCTTGCTGCTTGGAAACCAAGTGCTCAAAAGCGCTTCTTAAAGGGAGCCCTGCATCAGTCCTAGAACCTGTCCCCATTTAGGGATTTCTTAGATGGAACAGAGGCTCTGAACTAAGTTGAAGGGACAGACCATGAGATATGTCTTTTTCTCYTTTCGTGTGTGTTTTTGCTGGGATGCTTGCATTCTAACTGACCAAAGTATTTTTTCCAGGGAAAGTTTCAGCCTCTAGATCAGGTGGTGGTGGATGATGCATTTCCRAATTGTGTCTTGTTGCTGAAACTTCCTGAACTTGAGAAAGTACTTCACCAYGTGACAGAGGAAAAAGGTATGGTATGTGGGCCTTGGAAGTCAGGCAGAAAGACTGGGCCTTTCTCAGAACATGTAGCTGCTTAAACATGTAGCTCCCTAGCTGTAATGCCCATTCTGTGTCRGTGGAAGACAAAGTGTTACTCAGATGGGCTTCCAGTCGTCAGTACCCCTCCTGGGTCCCATCGGATTGTTCATTCTCTGGAATTATGCCCACTGAAATCTTCTGGCCTCTTCCACAGTCAGAAATCACAAACATGGCTTTAGTCTCAGTTCTTTGAAGTAGCTTTGTGACTAAAGGCAAGTCAACTGCTTTCTGCTTCAGAGTTTTCATTTGTTAAATTATATAAAATGACTCTTAGTGATCCAAGGGTACTAATTTGAGTACCTAATGAGAAGCAAACGTTGAATATTAGTGCTGGGCTTTGGGGACAAATAAGACACTGTCTCTTCCCTGACTTTTCTTTGAGTCTGATGGGGCAAGCAACAAGCAGGGCAATGACAAGACAGGTGATGGAAGTAACCGTGTATTTCCTGGGGATGCACAGGCCTGGTCTGGGTTGGGTGGGGTGCAGGTGGGTGAATACCCTGTTGCTTTCCAGGGGGAGGTGACCTAAGTGGAGTCCCGAAGGATGAGTCAGAGCAGCAGTAAAGCAAAGGCATGGATATATGGAAAAGGTTGTCCTGTTTAGGTGGTTCCATTAAATTCATTGCATCTGGGAGGGTTTGGGGCTGTAAGGAATGGGGCAGGAATGCTGGGCACGGGTTCAGATGGGACGGAACGTTGTATGCATCTGGTGGTGGCCCATCTCTGAACTTTTCACCAAGACAGTGCTACCATGTGGAGAATATATTCAAGAAGCCAAGGCCAGGTCCACAGGGGCTGTTGCAGTGGTCTAGACAGAATATCACGAGAGCCTGAGCTTAGGAGGAACTGCAGTTTAGGGGGAAACCAGCCACATCAGGTGACTGAATGGTGGTCAGGGAAAAGAAAGAGTAAGAATGGCTTCTAGGTTTATGTCTTGACCCAGAGGATGTACAGTGCTGGCATCCTGGAGGCAGGGAACAGGGGCTGGAGGAGCAGGCGGGGGAACAAAGAGGTGAATTCTAGATATTACTCTTGAATTTTGAGAAGAGGAGGTGAGGCATTGTGTGTCAGGTTAAACAAGTTTTGTGTTTTAATGGGTTAAAAAACATTATACACACTTAGCATCAGGGTTTCAAATAATCATCCACGTGGTTTCAGGGTTAATCTGGAAACATAATGTGAGAACCAGAACAACAGGCCAAGAGGCTGTGGCCATCTGGGGTCGTAGATGGTTTGTTAACAATGGCAGATCTTCTGGGACCAAGAAAGTGGTGATTCCAAGAAGTGTAAGCTTACAGTGGGAAGGGGAAAGCCTCACTGATTGCATTTTATGTTTGAGAGGCTACTGATTCTTACTTGGCAATGCTTGGGGATCCAGTTTGGATCTGAGGGCTGCATGGAGCCAATGTTTTATCAAAGCAGCCCCATCAAAGGCGTTCCTGATGCTGAGCTTGGCAGGGGACAGCATCTTTTTGTGGGTGACAAATGAAGTAGACCATAACCATTTTTGAAAACTAAAGTAATAAAGAAAATAGAATTACAAGTCATTTTAATTTTTGTTACTTTAACATGAGTTGAAGATGCAATGAAGTTGTTATCCAGGATTCTGCCATGGGCTGCATGGGCTGTGTAAAAGCAGTCAACTTAAAGCAATACCCAGAAACAAGATTCTGAAACAGTATCCATGCCTCTGTGTTTGTTCACTTTGAGTCTCTGCCCTCTCCCAGCCTGGGCATTTGCTGCGTCGMTGTGTGGACTTATGTCCCAGTCTCTGTCTCTTCTCAACTTTGCCTGACTTTTAAAAGATTTGCACTTCCGTTTTTCAAAGTGGCCATGTTATTAGCCTTTATATAAGTATGTAAGTCAGATTTCTAAAGTCCCAGTCCTCAAGTTTTTCTTTAAGTGATGGTAAGGGAAAGCAAAATATTTTCAGATTAAATGTCCTACAGTAAAAGATACGTGCAGTGCCTTAGAGGTTTGGCAGTTTACTTATAATCCGATTCTACCTTTAATGAACTGCATTTTATAAATTTGAARTAATGGAAAGTTTAAAAGYAAAACCAAAAAAAAAAATTAAGAATAGGGAGGAAAAATTAAAAAGAAGTGAGATTCTCCATGCCTCATCCATCAGAATACTTGAGAATAAGCAACCCTACAACATTTGCTTCATCCCTTCATCCAAAATATAAATATATGAAATATTTTTCTTTATGTGAGGTCTGTGTACAGGTCARTGTACTCAGATGAATGTCTTTTTCCATGAAGATCAGCAAGGGAAAGCCCAGCATTCTGAGGTTTACCACTGGTTGTTATAGGCTGTCCACAGAGAGAAGGGTAGAGGATCTGCACTACAGCAGGAGGTGGGTGCTTATGGTTTTCCATATATTACTTAATCATCGCAGTAAGGCCCTTTCATTGTTATTATAATCTGCATTTCTAAAAATGAGGAAACTGAGTGTTAGAGAGTTAAGTAACTTGCCTGACATCACAGAACATGAAGTAGCAGAAGAAGGATTAAAGAAAAACTTATGTATGTCTTAATAAATTAAAGAACTGATAGTGACACTTGCTGTTCTCTCTYAGAGCTGTGAAGTACTTCCAGGATACTCTGCTAGTCTTTAGAGAGTGTCTCTTGTAAAAATAGAAAACACATTTTTCTTTTAAAATCTTTGTATCCCCTCTTAATGATTTTGCTTTGTATGGCAAAAAGATAAGAAAAGAGACAGAACTGGAGTCGCTTAAGGAGCAGACAGTCCTCACCCCTGCAGTGATCTTTCTTATTTTCACGCACTGTCCTCCAGGTCATCATAGTGATTGTATTGAGGACTGGCTGCTTAAAGATTGGATCTATTAGGTTTGTTTGTGTTCCCCCGGATAAATAAGCCCAGCCACTGCTGCTGGTGCTCTAAACGATGAAGGCGGTGACCTTAGCCTTGCCTGCTTCATTAGTAATGGAAAGGCTCTACTTGCTCGCTCTAGGGCCCAGAGCACGTTTCTTGCCAAAGAAGCTCACATTCAGTGGAGAGATGACACGGGAGAGGACTAATACGGGGTCATGGACTTTGCCTTGAACGTAACACTCTGCTTCATGTTGCAAGCCAGAGCTGCATTGCACTGTCTGATGCAATTAATGGGAAGAGCCAGGAAAACTTACCTGATTAAAATTCCCCAAGTGCAGTTGCCAAGTTTCTATCCCCAGAAGACAGGGGAGAAAAGGCGGACTGAGTTTCTCAGTTATGGAAAACATTGAGAAAGCAGAAGTGAAAATCTGCTCTCGGCAGTTTGTTCAACAATACATCAGGGAAATTCAGGTTTGTGAACTGATTACCCAATTGCTGAACATGTTATTTAATTGTAGAGTCATTTTTATTCCATCTTTATTTTGTAAACCCAGTATTTCCAGATGTTTGAGGCTTGTTTTATAAGCACCAGACACATAAGGGAAAAAACCCATCCAGTGTGTGCACATACTGTCCAGCTTTCTAACTCTCACAAATATTAAGTTTAGGACACGGATGAACATGCTATGCTATTTTTCATAATTATGGGCCGCCTGTGGTCTTCATGAATATCTGAGATCTCCTTGTTTTTAGAAATTTATAAATTTCAAAATTAAGATGTAGTTTATACACTGGATCTGTGTAGTATTCTGGGACATAGTGATCATCTTATCCAGGGAATATTTTATTTAGAAATAGATTTATAATTTAAAAACTTCTTGGAAAGAAAAATCCAGGCCTAGCTTCATTGATGAATTCTACTCTACTTTAAGAAAGAAATAATATTCAAAGAAATAATACTTGTTGAATACCTTTCAGGTGAGGAAGGAATTTTATGAAATGCAACTTGTGATACCAGAAGTGTTCCAACACCAGAATAAAAATTGTTACAAAAAAGAAAATTGGACCAATATTTTTTGCCTTCACAGACTGAAAAATCCTTAACCAAAATATTAGAAAATCCAATATGTAAGACCCAAGTGAGTCTTATTACAAAAATGCAAAGTTGGTTGGGCATTAGAAAAATCAATTAGATAATTCACAAATTTACATATTACAAAAGAAAAGTGCATGGTCATCTCAATGGATGCAGAAAAGGTGTTTGACAAAATTCAGGCATGAAGTAAATTCCCAGCGAATTAGGAATAGAAGGTGATTCCTTCATGTGGTCAAGGGCATCTATGGCAGACTTCTGACATCATCACTGTGAAAAACTGAACCTGCCTTTCCCCTGGAACTGGAAAAAGGGAAAGGCACAGAGATGGGACAGTGAGTAGTAAAACTGTCCTTGTTCATGGACAATATCATCATGTAGGTAAAAAGTCCATGGGAATCTACCAAAAACAAAAGTTCCTAGAACTTATTAAGCAAGGTTTCAGAATACAAGTTCAACATACAAACATCAGTTTTATTATATGTATAGTCATTAATCACTTCACTGGGAWATGTGCCATTAGCCTATTTCATCTTTGCATGAACATCGTAGAGCGCAAATTACATAAACAGGTGGTGTAGCCTGCTGTACACTTGGGCTACTGGTATACCTTGTTGATTCCAGGCTACAAATCTGTACAYCATGTTACTGTAGTGACTGCTGTAAGCAGTAGTAACAGGATGTAAGTATTGGTATATAGAAATATAAATCAAGTACAGTAAAAATATAGTATAAATTTTTAAAAATTGTTAGACCTCTACCGGGCACTAACTCTGCATGGAACTTGCAGGCCTAGAGGGTGCTCCGGGTGAGTCAGTGAATCAGTGAATGGTGACTGAATGTGAAAACCTAGGACGTCCCCGTACATTGTTGAGACTTTACTGATACTGTGCACKTAGGCTACGCTAAATTTATTTTTAAATCATTTTATTTTTTCAATAATATATTAGTCTTAGCTTACTGTAACTACTTTATAAACTTCTTAATTTTTTAACTTTTTACTTATAATATCTTAAAATACAAACCTATCATATAGCCTCAAAAAAAAAAAAAGGATCTTTCTTTGCATCCTTGTTCTGTGAACTTTCTTTAGTTGTTGTTCTTGTTCTTTTCTTCTTCTTTTTTAATTGTGTTAAAAATTAAGATGCAAACACACTAGCGTAGGCTTACTTAGGGTCATGATCATCAGTATCACTTTCTGCCACCTCTACATTTGGGCCCACTGGAACTTCTTCAGGGGCATAACACAGATTGCCAATCTCCTGTGATAGCAGTCCTTTTGGAATCCCTCTAAAGGACTTGCCTGTGGCTATGTACAGTTAACTTTTTTTTCTTTTTTAAAACAATCCAGAATACACTAAAATAACAATAAAACGGATGAATCTCACAGAAATTTTGTTGAGCAAAAGAAGATGAACACAATAAAGTACACACTATATGATTCCATTTCTAAGAAGTTTCAGAATAAAGCAAGAATCAATCTATAAAGATAGCTCAGTGGTTCCTGGTGGTCTGGGGAGGGCTGGGAGAATTGATTACATAAAGGTTCAAGGGAACTTATGGACATGATGAGTACATGACTGCATTTATTTCTCAACATGCGTCCTGTTCTACACTTAAAGTGGGTATGTTCATTATATAAATAAAGTTGATTTTTTAAAAAAATGTACTTACTAATCCAGCATTAGAAGCCAGGCCTCCCGATTTTTGATTCAGTAATTTTTTTTTCCTCCCCCGTGTCAAGATAAGGTTGACTCCTTCATTCTCCACACTTCCCGTCGCCTTGGGATCAGGTGCTGTAGTGTGGCAGGCAAGCGGCCTGGGCAGCCAGGAGGCTAGTTTGGGAAGATGACCAGTTTAGTTTCAGACATGTTGAGCCTTGGCTCAGGGCTTTATGTTTGCTATTTGCTAGCTGAGCTTGTTTAAAGTCTTGTTGAACTAGGATATAAAGCCTCTCCAGGAGAACGGTGCAGTTGACCTTGGAGAAGGGCAAAGGAGAGCTGGAAAAAGATTTAGAGAAATCATCAGAGAAAACCAAAGGAAAGCAGTTTTGTGGCTACCTTTCTGGAGAGGTCTTTCCCACAGAGAATAGGGAGGACAGAAGTTCCTAGGGGAGCATGTAGACCTCATTGTCCTTGGTAAAATGAGCATCAGATCCATAGCTGAAGGTCAGCTTGGATGGGAATGCAGTGCCGCTTCTTAATTGCTAGTGACTTTGGACAATTTACTTTAGGTCACTCAAACCTGGTTTTCTGCGATGAGTACAAATAAAGCTTTTCATTTGAAATCCATTCTGCCCATCAATGCGAAAATGTATGTGAAGAGCCTGAGTAAATGTTAGTTTTCTGACACATAATTGACAAATATCAAACTGTCATCATTTTTGCTTAGCTGATATCAACTATTTCCTATGTGGCAGACATTTGTGCCATAGGATTTGTAGGGACTATTCCATTGCACATTCAAAATAACCCTTGCTTTACACCTTGAGAAAACAGGTTTTGAGAATGAAGTGGCTTCTCGAGGTAACAACATATGCTGGGGTTTGCATGAGCCCTGGAAGTATGTATGGCTTAGTCTGTATTCTTGATTTCTTCTGAGAGACCATTTCCAAGAGGGACAGGAGAGGTCTGCCTAGGTGATTCGGGGAATGTGAGCCAAGAACAAAAACTATGTAAGTGGTAGTTCTTTTAGCATTTTGGAGGTAGGTAAAGAGCAGAGACTGGTGGGATTTCTTAGGACAGACTTGAGCACTGAATTTTGTTACTGAGTCTTGATGCAGGTGGTGAATGGAATTTCTAAAGGCCATTCAACAGTGTACACTTATTGGGTGAGCTGTGTCCTGTTAAATTTCCCCTGATGTCCTGATGGGATATTGTCTCCAGGAAAACTGAATCCAGTCTTGCTTCTGCAGTGGGCTGTTTTTCTAGGCTCTCCTGGCTCCAGGAGAGCAGAAATCATAAGAGGAATGTCATTCTGATGGAATGTCATTTGCAACTGTCCCTCCTTCAGTGACACATACTCAGGAGACAGGTGCGAAGGCTCAGCTCCCACTCCATCTTCATGTTGACCACTACAGGCAGAAATGGGGAGGAAATGCACAGAGACTAGGGCAGGGGTCTTTCAGCCTTTCTTCCATTCAAACCATTTGGATTGCAGAAAACTACCCCTGAATAAGCAGTTTCCATTTCCCGTGATAGGGAGGGGAGGAAGGGGAAGTGTCATGCTGTATAGCTCACAGATGGTGGGTCTGCACTGGCCCTAAGGTTTCCAGTAGCCATAAAAATGACTCCTATATGGTCATAAAGGAGGCTGGAACGGAAGTGCTTCCCTGGCTAACCACACAGGAAGAAGAAATCCCACGGACTAAACGTGTTATGGAGGAAATCCTGGTTTAATGACATAGCGTATGAAGCTAGGTGGATTGTGAGGGGAAGTATAATTTCTAACAGTCAGAACTTTTATATCCATAAAGGGCCAAGTTGAGCCTACCATAAATCTAAATTCTCCTGAAATATCTATGACTATATTAGTAATACATTAAAAGATGGATATATCCATTGCTGCACCAATTCCACCAGGGCAGCACTGAGTAGTTAAGATGTTTTTGTTTCTTTTGCCCCTGAACATGGACCTTCACAGGCATCTGCCTGATTTTAGTGTTTTTATTCACCCCCCCCCGCCCCCGCAGGTTTTTTATTTTAGAAAGGAAAGTCTTTCTTTGAAAACATTGAGGTGAACTTAAAATTAATTCAGAAAAATTGAGATTATTTAGCATGTTAGATTGCTGTGTTTTAAAAATTACGTTTTCTACAGTGTTGTTTGTATAACTTGAGGGTTTTTTAAAAGTTCATATTCATTCTGTGATGACATCACTTCTGAGGTACCTAAACTCTGGGAGTTTTAAAAAAAATGTCTCAAGTATGTTCTCCGGTTTATAGGTTGGGCTTTTTAATAATGTATTATGAAAAATTTTATATTACCTTGAGCTTTTTTGTTTGTTTGTTTTGTTTTTTAACTCACTATACTAAGGGTTTTTTCCCCCATTAATCCAGAAATAGGCAACAAGAAATATTACAAGTATAGCAAAGAGAAGACATTGAAGTGGCTGGAAAAAAAGGTATAGTACCTCTCTAGTGTCTTGTGATTAAAAAAAAAAAAACTTTATATAGGCAATAAAATTGAATCCAAAGACCATCCTATATGTGTAGTGAAAATGGGAAAACTGTATAAAGATATCCAAGACTGAAAAGAAACTTGGTATTTTTTTTGACCTGAATCCTCATTTCTTCCTGGTCCTAAATGAAAGAGTTTCTTGCTGTTGATTAGTACAGGTTTGAATCTTCCAAGCCCAACAGTGCCAGGCCTGAGGCTCTTCACTGTGTTAGCTGCACAGGTATCTCCAGGGTGGTGTTGCTCACATAACCAGGCAAGAGATGGCAGGAGAAAGCTGTTCAAACTTAGAGAAAGTTAGTTACTCTAAGTGTCCAAATGCTGAAGAAGGATCATCTTCTAGGCAAACTGTATGTCTTAGTGATTTTGACCAAATATAAGGTCCAGGGCAGTATTTTTAAAATTGATTTAGAACATCACAACCAGTATTTCTCTTGGAATGGAGCAGGACAGAATGAATTAGGACAGGACAGAATGGGTTCATATATATATAGCCCAGAGTACGAGTAAATGTTAAGGATGACTCTATGAAATGTATACTTGTATATGTGTTTTGCTGGATATTTCTTACTGTGGGTTGTAGTTAAAAAAAAAACAAACAAACAAAACTCTGCCACTGGTCTAAGGAAAGTATCGTTACTTTCACATGGATTAAGAATCTTAGTTTTTGCAAGATCAGTGCGTACCAGTAGTTATAATTCTGTTTCCTGAGGTTCCCTTGGATCTAACATGTGAAAGCCATACTCGTTTGTCACACTATATCACTAAGCACATTGGAGTCTGGAAACATGCAAATGAACACTGTAGAATCAGTCAGGCTCCTATTGTACAAAGTAACAAAAATTTAGTAAGTGCCATCATGTTCCACTTGTCATGTGCTATGTCATAGCATATTGTATATAGGTGAAAATGCTAAGCAAAATCTTAGCATTTCATTTTTGCTTTTAGCAAGTGATAATGATATGACCACAAAGTGAAGTTTATGCTTATTGGGAAATTTTATATTTTTTGTTCTGTTTAGAAATTGCTAATATAGAAACTTTGTACTGGGTTCTGTTCTAAGGGTTCTACATGCATTAACTCATTATCTCACAGCAGTCCAATGGGGTGGATACTCTTTTTGCCTATTGCACAGATAGAAGCACAGAGAGGTTGAGTGATTGGTCACAGAGCAAATCAAAGCAGCCTGTTTCCAGAGTCAGTGCTTCAGTCAACTTATGTTGCTTCTCATATTGCGCAGGCTCAGGAAGTCCACGTACTGAGATCATCCAGAAATGTATCTGCCCTCRGCTTCTCTCCAAGTGTGTAATATTTGGTGGAGATATTGCTAGGTTCTCAAATACTTCTTCATAGATCTTAAGTGGATTGAGGGCCATCTGGAAAGTCATGCATTTCTAAAGTTATGATGAAGATTCCTCCAATTTCTGCCCTGTGTTTGCTTTCTAGGTTAAACAAACTGTGGCAGCATTAAAAACCAGTAATGTCACTGTCAGTGCTCGGGTGCAGTCATCTGCATTTTTCTCTGGTAACCAGGTTTTGAATGACAAGGAAGGTAAGTAAACCACTTCATCAGAAATAATTTTTGTCTGGAGTAAGTTGCTTATGTGCAAATGCATACCTGAGAATTTAAAAATCTTTAATGTCACTGAAGCATCATTCTTGCCAGTGTTTTTCATAGATTAGGGCAATTGTACATCCTATTTCAGAATCAAAGGCTGTTTCTAACAGATCAGTTCTCTCACTGAGTGGCACTTGAATCATTCATTCAGCAAATAATTATTTTGCACCAACAGTAATAGCAACCCTGAGAAGCCTGGCTGTCATTTCTTAAGGGTAAGTTATGTGCCAGACCCTTGGCTAGGTTGCCAGGATACAAACATTGTCTCCTGATCACCCAGGAAGTCCCAAGAGAATCAAGGTTCAGTCCACAGTTACCCACCAGCAAATGGCAAAACGGAGCTACTCGTGGAGCTTCTCTCACTCTCAAGCCCATGCTTTTCCCTTTTTCTTGTACCTTTCCTCTGGCTCAGGGTTTCTAATGAGCTGCTTCTTTTTGCATCTTACTGCCATAAAGCATAATTCCTAAGGTAGCTTTAAATGTTTTGATTTTAGATGAAAATTGACTCACTTAGCAATTTTCTTAGGTTATTAAGGTACTACATTCTTTTGCTTTTTCCAGTATAGTGTATGTGTGTATGTGTGCATTGTTTAAAAATAAAAAACAATTATATAGTGCAATTAACATTCTGATAGGGTGAGACAGAAATTATTCTGACCTTCACCTTCAAGATTCTGTGTTCCCTTGTTCTGGCTATACAATTTTCAATACCTGACTTTAGCCATTAAAAAAAATTAATATGAGGAATAGGGACCTTTTTGTGATGGATTATTCAGACGGTCTTTGATGTGCAGAAATCTGTTTTACAACTCATTACTTATTGACATAGCTGGCCACTGCCATTTTGGGGGTGGTGAACAGCATGCTTGCCATACCAAATTCATGAACTGTCAGTGTCTTTAATTGGCCTTAACAGAAGAGGAGGAAGTAGTGAATCACAAGGGGAGATGGATGGAGAGTTGACCAATGAAACCATATATATGTGGTCTATTTATTTTTCTTTTTTTCTTTTTTTTTTTTTTTTTTTTTTTTTTTTTTTTTTGTAGAAGAAGGGATATTAGAGAGTTTTATAGACAGGTCTTCTTACTTTAAAAATTGACAACTATAGTCTCAGAGAGATGGATGGTTTATTCTAGCTGATAAATAAGGTCTTGTGCTCTGAGTCCAGGGATTTCACCAAGACTCTACATCTAAGTTTCTTGGCATGGCTGTATTGCTGGTTAGTGTTCCAGCCACAAAGTAAGCTTTACATACTTTTAGATCTTTAGCTTGGGGTGTGGTACCAAAAGCAGAGAATGAATGACCTGTAAACTGACTTTCTTAAAATAGTTTTCTGTGTCTCTTCATGACTAACTGGATAAATTACTAGCCCAGAACCCTGAGCACATTTTAAGAAGGGTCCAATAATAACTTTGTGTTCTACATCAGCCATGAAAGTCKTCTACTAAAGGTTTTCAAGATCGGGTAACTACCAGACTGCAGTCATTTACTAAGTAATACTGGGGGTATATTGTTGCCTTATTTTGAAGGCAGAAAAGAAGGAAAGCAAGTAAACATCTCTGCAGCAGACCCGGGCTTTGCTTTTTGACAGTTCATCTCCCCCTGTGGTCATTCCATCTCCTGATTAAGTTTGATTGCCCCACATAATCTGCTCACAGTGCCGAATTAAAGAGCGGCATTTGGAAACAGAATTTATTGGCTGTTTTTAATCAATGGCAGAGCTGCATTTTAGTACTATGACTTCAGATACCCTGAACTAATATTATATTCTGCTGTGTGAGTTGTGTTTCAGGTTTTAAAAGGCATTTTATTTGGAAGTAGATAGTGTTCAAAGTATATGTAGTGTTCTTATGAAGCAAATACCTAATAGAGATAAATCATGTTATTTTATTTACCTTAAATGAATATTATCACTACTATTCAATGATGATATTTGTTATTTGGAGCAGATTTAGAAGAGATTAGCCTTAATAAAAAGAGACATTAATATTTAACATTATCACATCTGATTTTTAAATTTTATTTGTATTCAAAGGCTTCAACTAACAAAGCAACCCTGAGTTTTTGCTTTTCCTGTCCTTAATTTAGTACATGTCTACTATGTTATATTATCACATGTTTGGTATCATGCTATATCATATATCATCATCACATCTCTGCTCTGACACATCGTATTAGTATCGCCATTTACCAACAAGGAATCCGAGGCTAGAGCCTAATGAGTTTCCTAAATCCATATAGATCAAGAATTTGAACTCTGGTCAATTTGACTCTAAAAATCACTGTAATTATACCTAATTGTTTTATTTCACTCTCATTTATTTCAGAGGATTACATTCGTTATGCCCATGGTCTGATATCTGATTATATCCCTAAAGAATTAAGTGATGACTTATCCAAATATCTAAAGTAAGTGTTGGTGTAGTCCTAATGAACAAGGACTTTTGTGCTTCTTGGTTTCCCCAGCAATAGGTTTCTCTGTGGCATATGATATCACTGTGTGATAAGAGATTATTCTTGAGCTTTGTCTTTTACTGTATGGATTGGGGAGGATTTTTTTGAAAATATTTTTTTAGTTGTCAATGGACCTTTATTTTATTTATTGATACATGGTGCTGAGAATTGAACCCAGTGCCTCACACATGCTAGGCAAGCACTCTACCACTGAGCCATAATCCCAGCCCTGGAGAGGATTTTTAATAGACATTGAATGGAACAAATTGATTTGGTAGAAACTGATTGCAGCAATGAGTGAGTTTAGAGATTAGAATTTTTGTTTTTTTGTATTAGAGGACAAATGTGTTTAAAGTTTTATCCCCAGTGAGACTTAACTAACTTGATTTTTGTGATTATTTAAAGAGAAAGAGATAGGAAAGGAAAGAGATGGAAGAACAGTTTTAAGAATGACTTGATTTTCATTCCTTCCTTTTTAAAGATCTCTTTTTTTAATATTTATTTTTTAGTTGTAGTTGGTTGGACACAATACCTTTATTTTATGTGGTACTGAGGATTGAACCCAGGGCCTCTCACATGCTAGGCGAGCACTCTACCACTGAGCCACAACCCCTAAAGATCTTTAATATAATATATAGACCATACTTTTGTTGAAAAGTATGTGCTTATTTTCAAGATTTTAGCCATTATTAAGAGCTTATGTTTATGATGATTTAATAGCTTTTCCCAATCCTTATTAAATCCTTTTGCTTCTTTAATCCATGAAAGGGAATAATATGGTTATTTTTTTWAAAAATCCATAATAGATAATAATAGAGTTGTTGTTTTCAGCAAATTCCACAGATCCTGCTTTAAAAACAGTAGTGGAAATTGGTCCCTATAGTAGTTAAAGCATATTGAAAGCTTGTTTTAAATTGATAACCATCCTTCTGTTTAACATTTCCTTGGATTTCTTAGCTGCTTGTTTTGTATTCCATTATTTGTTTATTTTTTTTTCTTTCCCTAAAATTTCAAGTTTGATTTAAAGACTTTGGAAGACAGAACATGCCAGTTAAACTTCTTTTTTAATGGGAGAAAAGTTTGTGTGGCTTTTGTCAACAGTTATAATGCTATTCACTTTTAAATAAATGGTAGCATCATAATTTATGAAGAAAAAACACTCCAGTGCCAAAACTCTAATCTGTGGAGGCCAACAAAAACCCACTGTGTTTCAACAAATGGGTTTAGTGTTTTTCTGTTTTTCTGTTTAAACAGTTTTAATATGAGGGATTAAGTAGCAAAATGAAGATGCATTAATTTAGAGAGATTCCATTCTTTACTTTGAGGGGATTGAACAGGAGGATCTATAGTGGCAAAGCTATATGAAAAGCAGGACTCTCTTAAGTCTTAAGTTGGCCCAGTTTCTATTTGCCTTTCAATGAAAACTCATGGCTGTGATCTTTCTTAACTTCTTTAGGCTTCCAGAACCTTCAGCTCCATTGCCAAACCCTCCATCAAAGGTAAGGAACTGGGACCAATTTTTTTTTTTTTTTTAGTTTAATTTGTTCTAGTATATATTAAAGCATACAAAATCCATCTCTCATGGAGTGGTGCAATATGGAATATATATTATTCTGAGTTCTCCATGAGTATTTTTAATTATTGTAGATTTTACCCAAAGTGAAAACCAAGTTCATTTTAGAAGGCACCTCTATAAAAATATTATAGATATATAATTAAGAAGCCTTCTTGAGTAGGCTAAGCCATTTCATTAATGACCCAGAACCATACAACTAAAACTCATTTTGCCAAATCTAATTATAAATAGCCCAGAGGTACATCGAGCATAAGTTTTGTACCTCAAAGATGAATAAGGATGACCATGTTTCCATTCTGAATCTGAAATGATTAACAAAATTAGTTGTAGTTGCCATCTGTTATTGAGAATCCTCCTTTTCCAAACATCCTCAAACAGCTCTCCCTAGCTCCTCTATAGCTTGTGTTTATTTCCTAGATCCATAGGCTAGAAAAGCCGATCATAACCCATGCCTAAACTGTAGCATCCCTTAGTCTAGGCCAGATCTCAGATGAGTAAGTGTTGCTCTGAGGCAGGGGAATAAACACATGCACTGCTGTGGATGAGCTCATTCACCAGCCAACAGAGGACTTGAAGCTTTGAGCATGTGCAGTAGACACCTCACAGACACAAGACAGCTTTCCTTCCCCCTGCATTCATTGCTTGGCCTTCAAGGTAGTCAGCGTGCTCAGGAATTTTCTCCTATCAAGTCCTATTTGGAGGTGGGGTTAGCAGTTTAAAAAGCTGCTTTTGTTGAGCTTTCTTTGATTTTTAGAAAAGGACTTTGATTTTTAGAAAGTGCATCAGTGTTCATTTGGGGTCACATTCAGCAGTTGTCAAAGAAGGTGCATCTTTTGCTTCCTTTGAAGAAGAGCACTGGGCAGAAGTCAGTTGCTGTAAGATCTAAGGACATCCTAGGTCAGACACATGCTTCTTCCAGTTCCGTAGTTAATCTCTGAGAGTATCTGGGGGATAAAGAGTAAAATAATAGGTGCTCTGAAAGTGTTTGTTTCTTATTTTTCTACCTCAAAAAATAAAGCGTATTTCTTTCTCCCACATGTCTATCTTCCTTAGAAACTTAGATGTAATTCATGAATTGATATAAACTTAGCCTTGAAAGTGCTAGCCTTTGATATCTTTTAGAATAATATATCTCATAAGTTTATTCTCCATTCCGGTTTTCTGTTTCTTAATTTCCAAAATTTAAGTCATTTGTGGTCTTGTCATTTTTGATTTAGATCTAGGGTCAGCAAACTTTTTCTGTAAAGGATATATAATAAATGTTTTAGGCTCCCAGCATAGACAGTCTCTGTTACAGCACAGGGGCTGTGTTGTTGGAGGGCAGAAACAGCTATAGACAATACATAAGTGATTAGTATGGCTAGGTTCCAATAAAATTTTATTTATGAAATCGAGGGCCAGCTGGATTTGGCCTGTGGGCCATAGTTTGCCAAACTCTGATTTGGATTTCAGCATCTTGTCCTTTCTGCACCTCAGCCTTATCTCCTAGATGAGGCATGCACATTACAAACTATACTGGATAATGTATCATAGTTGAAACAAGCATAGACTATATCTTCTACTAGCTTTCCTGTCTGGGCCAAGGGTTTGATTGATTTTTTTTTATAGAAGTATATGTGATCATTTTCAGGAAATACCTCCCAGCAGCCACCAGGCATCCTTGTATCAGTTGTAATGCAAGCATGGAGTCTGCATCTAAATTTTTTTTGCCTCATTTTCCCTTACTGTCACATCTCTGCTTTTGTTGAGCTCAGCCCCCTACCCTCATCCCCTGCAATCTTTTGAATTTATCACTATCAACTGACAAAGTTGGATGTAATCAGTGTTTGGAGATGTTCCCAAGTTCCCTTTTTGCAAATTTTTTGTAATAGTGAGAAGACCAGGCCTAACATAAATCTTCATGTTAGTCTAGTGTTTGTTCCTCTCTTCCCAGAATTGTACCCATTTAGTCACATCCTTGGTACTATCTTTCTGAGCTACTTTACCATTTCTGCTGAAGCATCTTCTCACTCCATAGTGATTTGGTCTTTTAAATAACAAAAATTTATCAATAAATTTTCCCCCCAATGTATTCAACATGTGCTAGAAATAACATGTGCAGAGATGTACCACAATAATTTTTATTTTTTTATAAGAAGAACTTATAACTGGTATATTGTTTGGATGTGAGCTTTTAAAACACACAATTCAAATCATTTTGCTTATTAAATGTTTTATAATCAGATGGAAGTGAGGTAGGTAAATTGAGGGGTACAGAGAGTACTAAGTCTCAACAAAGGAATGCCTCTGAAACCACTGACATGTTATAGAACAAGCAACTCATGAGCAAAACTACCTGCATTCTGTCACCTTAAGCCCTCACCACCACTTACTGATTAGCCAATAAAACAACAGCTAAGACACCATGGCAGGATAGCTCCAATGCAGCTGGAGGAACACACAACTCCTTGTAGCGTGCACATCAGGAACTTTGACCAAGATGTGACCAGACCCTCTTCCCCAACCGCATCTCCCAGTAATAGTAAAACCCAGATGGGAAGAGATATGAGTCTACTTGCATTTCCCACATTCCCTTATACCTACAGTTATGTAATGATAGCTCAGTATGATAGTAATGTTGTCCTTATAAGCAGGGAGACTTTCCTCAGGCTCTCTGCAATCTCCTGCACTCCCATTCCTGTGTGTGTGTGTACTTTCCCTTTTTAATAAATCTTTTGTTTTGTTACCCACCAAATGCATCCTTAAGTTATTTTCTGTGACTTTGTCGTGTAATCTGCAAGATCAAGGTAGAGGTCTCCTTCACTACTGGAGATCTCTTGGACCTCTGTGCAGTAAACATTGTTCTGGTGAGCCAGATAGGAGGTAAAATGACAACAACCGACCCCTAGTGAGTGACCTGACATCCTTTTCTTGAACTCTTAAAAAAGTTCAACTGATTTTTTTTCCATCCTGTTCCATTTTCATGAGCCACAGAACATAATCTCAACTTGCCTGATTGTGGCTCTCCTTTTCAGAACTAGTTCGTAATATGAAGCAGGTGCAAGGACCACGCAGGTGACTCCTAACAGCAATCTTTGGGTTTAGGAAGTACCGTGCCAAGCTGAATGGGAGTTCATTGGCACGNCTCTCTCTCTCTCTCTCTCTCTCTCTCTCTCTCTCTCTCTGTCTCTCTCTCTCTCTCTCTCTCTCTCTCTCTCTCTCTCTCTCTCTCTCTCTCTCATTCTTTTTCTGCCTCTGAAATGTCTTCAGATTCCTTCCCTCTTTAGGGAAACATGAGTGTCAGATCATAAAGATGTCAAAGATAAGAGGCACTGGGTCAGATGGAACTTAACAAGCTCACGTGGGGAGACACTCATAAGGGCCGATCACTCAGTGTCTTCAGCACCCTCACGTTTCATAAAACAAGTAAGTCACACCTGAGGCACAGCAGAGGAAATTGGCCTTGGCATGACAGCCTCAGAAGCAACCTCCAAAATCAACACAGTAATCCAAACCCTGCAGAACCTTACATAGTGCAGAGGATGGCAGGCAATCTCCCTTCCAGCCTTGCTCTTTGTATTTCTTCTTTTTTTCCCCCTTTGCTGTGGAAATCTTGGTTCCTGCATTGTTTCCAGGCACTGGTAAATTTCCTCTTTGGTGCTCTGCTGCCCTTTTCCAGTGCCTCCATCACTGCTGCTTGCTGTGTTCATCTAGTACTAATTATCCTCTGTGTGATCTGGGATTTGAGCGACCCTCCTTTAAGGCCTTCTTTGATTCTTTTTCATAGTCTTTCCAACTGCCAAACTCCTTTGTACCAGCAGTCCAGATGTTTTGTTCCCCCTTTGGTATAAGCGCAGATCCCAGAATCACTTGTTTTGGGATCATAATGTAAATGCTATTCATATGCTCTGGGCTTATGGGAGAGATGTGGATTATGAGATTTGAAATTGCTCACAAGGATCCTATGGTCATTTTAAGCCTTATGCTTGATAGGGCTCATTGGGGGCAATAAAAGGAGAGTGGACCATTTTTCATCATTAAAGACATCCTCAGACCTCTGTAGACCTTTTTTTTTTTTTTTTTTTTGGTACAGGATTAATCCCAGTGGTGCTCAGCTACTGAGCCACATTCACAGCCCATTTTATATATTTTTTAATTTGAGACAGGGTGTCCCTAAGTTGCTTTGAACTGGTGATCCTTTTGCCTCAGCCTCCTAAACCACTGGGATTACAGGCATGCAGACCCATACCTGGCCTCTGGAGTCCTTTCTGTCTCTTCTCATATAGGGCCTCAGGCAGGCTTGAAGAATCCGGGGGCTCCAGGGATAACTAGAAGCACAGGTGTCAGTTGGAGGCAAGAATGCCTAACTTTTCTGTTGTAAGACACCAGTTAAAATGACATAAGGTCATATCTGTGGACAGGACTTTGTTTATTTCAATTTCTCTTTTCTTTTTCCAGAACAGAGAGGCACATTCATCACTAAACAAGATAATGTCACCTCTCCAAATGGATAATACCACATCTGTGCCCGCCAATTCTCCTTTGGGCTGCATCTTAAATAATTGGGATGCTTTTAAGGCTGACAGTCTAAATAAAAGCAGACTAACTTTTCTTTGCAACATGGCATGGCCTCAATACAAATTGGAAAGTAGRGAGATTTGGCCAGAAAATGGGACCTTAAAATTGAACACTATCTTGCAGCCGGATCTCTTTTGCAAACAAGAGGAAAAATGGACAGAAGTACCTTATGTCCAGGCCTTTATGGTCTTATACCGGGACCCAAAACTTAAGGGTCTCTGTAAAATACACAATGACCATTTTCCTTTAACTAAAGTCCAGGAAGAAAGTGCTCCCCTAGAGGATGCACTTTTGAGTGGTGGCCCTAGTATGCCACGTGGGCCCTCCCCATTGAAAGCCTGCCACTCTCCCCAGACTGTAATCCCA